AAAAAATGAAGGGAGATATGATTATTAGTGATACTATCAAGACAGATAATTGTTCTCTGTCTATTTCTAATTTTTCGTTTTCTCTTCTGTTATGCAATTATCCTAAACAACAAGAGAGTTGTCCTTGAAATCACATGTAGACGTCTAAAAAATTACATCAAGTGTGTAGCTAAATAGCAACAATGGAGCAAAAACGCAGGTTGACCCTCCCCGAAACGGGCCAGGGCATGGGTCCGGCCTGTTGGACCCGTTGCGGGTCACGGGCCAGGTCGGGTCCACAGGGCAAAAATGCGGGCCAGGTCCGGGTCCGCAGGTACCCGGCTCGACCTGGTCCGTTGCCATCCCTACTTCTACCTCTCTTGTAGTTTTTTTTTTTTTTCTTTTTATTCTTCTTCTTCATCTCTTATACCCACAGGAGCCTATGACTTTATCTTGAGATGAAGATCTATTATACTGAGGCCACTCAGATTCAGAGGTGAGGGACGCCGATTTCATATCACAATTAGGTTTTCACCTTTTTCTATATACTATTTATTTTCGCACGTTTTTTATATATTGTTTATTCAAAATTCGATTAGCATTGAATTCGTAAATTTTGATAGGTAGTCTATCATGGCGGAGTATTTGTCTGGGTGCATAAATCGGCATGACAAATTATCAAGTTAATTGCAAAAATGAAGAAAAATATACAGAAAAATGGGGCAAAAAAGGGTGCCTTTTATCTTGACTAGTTATTTTGCGCTTCCCCTGTAGCAACACTACTCTTTCATATAGTTTGATACTAGCGTGTATTTTGCTTCATTGTTGACTGCAGAAATTCGATTAGAATCTACAAAATAATTGGATGATGATCTTGTTCGGTAAAAAGAAATAATTACTTCATTCTAACAGAACTTATACTATTTAAATTGTCTTCATTTTCTCTTTGGTGTAGATGGGATTTAGCAGACAAGTGACGACTGTTGACACGGCATTGGTGAAGCCCAAGATGTTGGATAATGAAAAAATGCAGTCCGGTGCCAAATTCCAGCCTTCGACTTCAAAATTCAGACGTTGGGGGAGGGTATCACCATTCGTCAGATATGGTCTTCCTATGATCTCACTCACTGTTCTTGGAGCTCTTGGACTCGGCCACCTACTACAGGGAAGGTTAGTGTGGCATGAATTAGAATTTTGACCTGGGCTCGTGCTTGATCGCTTTGTTTGGCTACAGTCATTTTTTGTTAAAGTTTGTTGGTTCGGAACATAAATACGAGAATGGTTTATTTTTTTTTTATATTGTATGTATTTGTATTGTGATTGATCTTATATTATATATCTTTAATACAAACCTCTAGGAGGTTTTGGTATTACTTTTACAGTTGTGGAAGATCATTTGTGTCTTTGGAATTAGTTTAAATGCCGGATGGTTTATGTGAATGGTTATCTGTTGTTAAGGTGTACATAGTGCTGAATAAGAAAGATGCATTAAAAACTATTTTGTTTATGTATAAATCCCGTGATGACATGAAGTTTCTAATTCAGCAAGGATATAGCTAAAGTGAAGGATGACCAAGAATGGGAGATTATTGAGTCAAAAAAGGCTCTATCCAGAATGGGACCTGTTGACGCCTATAAACCTAAAAAAATTTCGCTGCATGAAGAGCTTAAGGTAAAACACGATTTTTTTTTATATTTGCCTTTATTATTTTGTAAGATGTATTTTGGTGAGAAATAAGTGGTGATTATGTACCTTAGAGCTGAGATGTGTGTGCTTTACTCTACAGGCTTTGCAAGAAAAGCTTGACGTAGATAATTATGAATACAAGAAAATTCCGAGGCCCAAAGAGGGCAAATGAACCCTAAAGATATAGTGCAGTTCTTGAGCTTCTGATAGAATTTTTGTGAAGGCTTTGCAAGAAAAACTTGACGTACAAAAGTATGAATACAAGAAAATTCCGAGGTCCAAAGAGGGCAAATGAAGCCTAAAGATTTAGTGCAGTTCTTGAACTTCTGATTGAATTTTTGTGGAAGAGGTAAAAATGTACTTTAGGATTAGTTAAAGTTCAGTTTTGTGACTCTGTATTTTTCTCATTCATCTTCTTAACTCAATAAAAAATGAAATCGCATATCTTGAGTGATAAAATGTTGTAAAAATGAGTGCAGCGAGATGTAACACCCCGCCTTCTATAATTAGACTTGTAAAAATTAGAGTTACATTTTTGCTTTTATTTTCAAAAAAATGCTAACTATATTTTCGAAAATATTATAAATGTCTTGTGGAATGCTAATAAAATTTACTATTCTTATCTCTTTCTCATCAGACAATAATAATACATGCAACCTAATCGAATCCATTTAATAAAGGTGCCATGGAGATAAATAATGCGTGCATAAACTTGAAGTTCTCATAATCTCATACTAGGTATGAAAATGCGGAAGCTAAAGCATAATAAACACACACATAATTGAAACTGCATGTTGATAATATATGACATAAATGTATGTCAAAATGTCCATTGAGCTCATGACCACGAGTTCTCACGCGCCATGTGGACTCTGTTACCTAAAAGGAAAATAAATAGTGGGGGCATGAGCAAAACAACTCTGCTCCGCAGAAATCGGTATTGAATAAACATCTATATTAACAATATCATGACTTTAGCATATAAGTAACTGAAAATGCGGAAGCTAAAGCATAATAAACACACACATAGTTAAAACTGCATGTTCGTAATATATGACATAAATGCGTGTCAAAATGTCCACTAAGCTCATGACCAACGGCAAGGTCCACCAAAATGATGTTGTGTGTGATAAGATCGACAAGGTTCAAGATGATATATCTTTGTTGAAATGTGTCGGTGCGAATGTTCTCAATGAACAATGGCAAGGTCCACCAAAAGTCTGAGTTCCTGATTCTAAAGCCTTTGACGGCTCGTGATGCAAAGGAAGTTGAGAATTTCCTTTGGGATATGGAAACGTATTTCCTGGTTGCCAGAGTCCCAGACGGTCAAAAAGTTTCAATAGCAAGCATGTTCTAGGCCGGGGATGCTAAGCTTTGGTGGCGGGCACGGGTGTCTGATGATGCCAGTGCAAATCGCGAGGTGATCAATACGTGGGATACATTGAAGGGTCTGTTTAAACATCAATTTCTCCCGGGTAATACTGATTGGATTGCTCGGAATACGCTGTGTAATCTAAGGCATACGGGTGTCGGGCGTGATTATGTTACAGAATTCACTTCTATCATGCTTGATCTTCGAAATGTCGGAGAAGGACAAATTGTTCAACTTTATGGTTGGTCTACAAGGCTGGGCCCAAGCTGAAGACTGTGAGGGTCGCGGGCCGCGCGGGGGCTGGATGCGGGTCGC